GGGAAATAACGGTATGGGAATGGGAAATAACGGTATGGGAATGGGAAATAACGGTATGAAAATGGGAAACAACAATATGGGAATGGGAAACAACAATATGGGAATGGGAAACAACAATATGGGAATGGGAAACAACAATATGGGGATGGGAAACAACAAAATGGGGATGGGAAACAACAATATGGGGATGGGAAACAATATGGGAATGGGAACCAACAATATGGGAATGGGAACCAACAATATGGGGGTGGGAAATAACGGTATGGGGATGGGAAATAACGGTATGGGGATGGAAAATAACGGTATGGGGATGGGAAATAAAAATATGGGGATGGGAAATAACAATATGGGGATGGGAAATAACAAGATGGGGATGGGAGATAACGGTATAGCAATGGGGACCAACAATATGGGGATGGAAAACAACAGTATGGGGATGGGAAACAACAATATGGGGATGGGAAATAACGGTATGGCAATGGGAAACAACAATATGGGGATGGGAAATAACGGTATGGCAATGGGAAACAACGGTATAGGAATGAGAAACGATAACAATAAGGAAAAAAAGAGAACCAATAGTCTTGAGGGTGTAGTCCATATTAAAACGGAAAACAATAGCATTAATTCTAACTCACATCATGAGAATTCTCAACAAAGTCATCATGGAAATTCTCACCAAAGTAATCATGAAACTTCGCACCAAAATAATCATGAAGATTCTTACCCAAGTCATCATGGAAGTTCACATCATGATAATCAGGACCGAGTTAATGAAAATTCACAGAATACGATAAATGCTCAAAGTGAGATAGGTGGATACAATGATCATAATCAAAATAGTGATTACAGTGCCAATCAGAATAGTGGTTACAGTGCCAACCAAAATCAAGACGGCTACCAACCCGACCAAAATGGTGGTTATCAAGGCGGTGATAATCAAGGTGGTTATCAACACAACCAAGATGGTGGCTATCAAGGTGGTGATTGCTATCAAAACAGCAATGTTATAAGTAACTATAATCATGACGGAGGTTATCAAAATGGATATGATCAATATGTACGTACGTATTTTTCTTACATATCGTGCTTTTACATTTCTGTTTTTTCTAATTTAACATCTTGCATTAATAGAACGCTAATGATTCGGGAGGTGCGTATAACATGAGCTCTTTAAACAACGCTTTGGATAGTTGTGGTTATGATAATTATAGTGGTGGAAACCATGGTGGTGGTGGTGGAGGAGACTTGGGTGGTTGTGATTTTGATTGCTCATAAAATTACGTTTGTGACGAACATTTATTTGAATATATAAAATATGTAAAGGGTTTATTATTACTATAACTAATAAAATTATGTTTATTCTAGTTTTATGTATTTATCAGAAATTTTTTATTTACATGTTTAATCCTGTATTTTAACTACATTCTACAATATCGATTATGTATTTATGTATATATGTAACGCTAAATTAAATGTTGAATTGATATATTAGTTTTATTACAATATCTACAGTATATTATTGCTACTTATATATCTATTGTTATAGTGATCCTGGCTGATAGCTAAGTCACGCATGTATTTCTTTAGCCACCTATGTGGATTTACTTATTTCTGTGGATGCTAAAGCGAAGTAGACTCATAAATTAATATATATTTAAGTTTAAGGTTGTTAATAGGTTTGTATGGTTTGAAAAGCTAGCTTGGAGTACTAAATGCTCATATAATACTCAGCTTGGTCTCCAATTTACAAACTAGTTGAATATTTAATATTTTTATAACTAATTCAGCCTAGTTCTAGGGTTAAATACATTTATATAAGTAAAAATTGTTTCCTGAAATTTTTATTAATATTTCAAGGTAGGCTCGGACTGCTGTTTTTTATATTTTTCAAGTTTTTCACTTTTTTTATCGTTTGGCTTCAGGTTTATAAAAATCCTATTAACTTGATTGTATGATGTCACGTGACAATACTCGCTTTAGATTAGGGCTCACCATTTTCTGCGGCAACAGACCCAAATTCTGCATGCATTACTTTTCGATTTATGCGAAATTATGCGATAAAATTTTCGAATTATGCTGTAAATTATG